GCGCATGTTACGGGGGGTGCTATCACAGCGACGGGAAGGACAGGCTTGGACCCCAGTTTCTGCCAAGGGAAAGTGAAATAAGGTGGAAGCCGCCACAGATTCCCCCGGATTGGTGCACAGGCTAAAAAAAATTAAAACCTGCACGATACATCTTTAAAAATGGCAATTGAGAGAGACAGGGAAAACTCAAAGGTAAATTCGAGCCAGGAGGAACCGCAAGAGGCTCCGGGGGAAGTCCACAGATGCGGTGGCCCTCGAACCCAGGCCCCCTCCCCACGCCTTCCGCTCTGCCTTGAGTTATGACGCACTTGTACAGTCCAGAGATATTTTGCCGCTTTTTCTGCTTCCTCTGCTCCTCAGCTTCTGCCTGCAGCTGCCGAAGCAGGTCCTTGGCCTTGACTTCCTTCCGGCCCAGCGGGATGATCTGCACAAGGGGGAGCATCACAAGAGGGTTTATCCCGTGGGTTAAAGATGGGCATGACCTTGGGCGGCTCCCGAAAGAGAGGAGAAAGACTGGTGCAGAATAAGGCTAGCAAGGGTTGCCGGTCGCGGGGGCGGGGGGCACACAGTTTGGTTCTGAATATCAGAGGACAGAAACTTGACTGGGAGGAGTTCAGGGAAGAAGGGAAGATACTAAGATAGTTTCTACAGGTAGTACTCGCTATTTGACCACAATAGGGACTGGAATTTAGGTCACTAAGCGATTTGTTTGTTCAGCGAATTATCACGTGACTGGAACTGATTTTACGACCTTTTTTATGATGGTTGTTAAGCAAATCCAGCTTTCCCAATGGACTTTTTTGCTGGAATTCGTTTAACGACCATGTGTTTTGCTTAACGACCATGTGTAACTTAACAAGGTGATGATCTGCTTAACGACCATCATAAAAAAGTCGCAAATCATGATCATGTGACTGTGGGGGATGGTGAAACAATTTGTGATCGCCGTAAGTGTGAGTACAGCTCATAAAGCACTTTTCCCAAGGCTGTCATAAGTCTGAACTGTTGTTAAATGAACAGTCGTTAAGCGAGGACTACCTGTAGTTGGCAAAAGAGGGCAAGACTTCACTGGGGCAAATGCCATTCCTCCTTTTCTTACATTTGCCTGGTGAGAACTGGGAAGCAGACTCTGGGGTTTGTCTCCAACGAGCGAACCAGCTCCATTCCTACCTCACCCATACAGAGAACAGTTAAAAACAACAATTACAGGAGTCACAGGACTTGGGAGACAGGACAGGGAAAACTTCTGAGCCCTCCACCTATTGCCCTCTGTCAAAGAGCTGCATCCCACCGGTTTATGCCATCACTGTCATCGTTCCACTATGGAAGCTGACACTGCTGTGGGCACACTGGGCTTCTGAAGAAGGGCTCCTTCCTCAGAGTGAGGTGTGAAGGGGAAGGCGGCCTTCAAGAAGGCTGATGCTTCCAGCTTGATTATATTTCCTGTAGGACAATTGTTCTGGCTAAGCAGCTGCATAGGAGAACTCAAACCAGTCTGTGCCCTGAGGAAGCCCACGTTCCCTTCTCCCTAGAGTGGCAAGAAGGCCTCACAAGGCCTAGGTTGCTCAGAAGGATTGTGAGCAAAAACGTGGAGAGGAAGAGGTGGCAGATGCAGGCAAATCTTTGGAGAAGCATACAAGCCAACGTTCAACTTCACATTTCATCCTCTCAGAGAGCAGCACCTACGCTGGTCACCGATTTGCCCACAAACAGCTTCAGCCAGACTGGCAGTAACACGGCTTCGGCAGAAATAGCTCACCTTTAACTCCTCGGGGGCCCGGGCTTCGTAGAGGAGCGGTCCTTTCACCAGCTGCAGGTCATGCGTCGCAATGGTGGCGGCTGTTCGTTTCTCACAGAGGTCCTCGTGGAGTTTTGTCTGAAATGTTTATTGGATTAAAAAAACAAAAGCAGCTTTACATTTATTCATAGCAATTCATTTCTAATTATTCCTTCGCAACATTTCAAGTCAAGATCAGCTGCCTATCAGGAACAGCCAGACTCCCACCCCCTTGAGAACGGAACAACCCAAAAATTTTTCTATAGGGGAAGGACAGGTGGAGAAACGCTCAGCAGCTGAGATCAACTGGGGGAGATCCCACCACTGACTCCTTTCCAGCATCTTCACTTGAAAGTAATCCAGGGACTCCCTGATGTAAAATAAACTTTTCACTCTGACAGTAAGGTCTGCACTTTCTGATAATTAAGTTTCTCATTTCCCCCAGAAAAAAGGGAGACCTATTTCTGCCCAATGCATTAACTAACTCTTAAAGCTAAACAGGACCTGTGTCCCAAAGAAGTTTATGCATGTGTGTGATGGCGAGAACAGAGTTTGAAAACTTCTATTTTAGTGAACTGCAGCTGAGCAAGCTAGCCCCATCTCCCCACTTGGCTGCAGAAGTGTAGAGTTAAAGTCCTTTCGTTCTGATTTTCTTCGTGACATGAGGTAAAGGATAACTAGAGCAGCTGATCGTTCCCAGATAAGGGACCCCATTCTGAAACTAATGGTACCGTGATCAAGGTGACGATGATAAATTAAGATTTTTATGGTTGTCCATCTCACAGAGTGACTCGGGGCGACTAACACAATCAGGACACTGATATAACAACAAATGGCAGAAACAATCCAACCACTTTAAAAAACAGGAAAGCAAAGAAGGGCAAGGAAGGGTAAACCTGTCAACAAATAATTTTCGCATCTTACAAGCTCAACTACCGCCGGATTGCCAGGTTTTATGGAAGGCCAACAGTGTTGGGGCCAATCTATAGTGGCTGGAATGGGGTTCCAAAGGGTGGGTGTTGTGACGGAGAAGCCATGCTTCCTGAGTCCAACCCTCATTAATTGACAGACTTCTCTGAATGTTCATCTGAAATCTCCTTCCCTGTAACCTGAGCCCATTGGATCTAACTTTGAGGGACAACACTTTATTCCACCCAATTTACCTCTCCCTCCCAAGCTGACACACGCTTAGCGTCATTTTTGGAGCCTCACCTGAGCTGAAATGAACCTCTTCAGAGCATTGCCTGTGTTGAAATCCATGCCCTTCACTACGCAGCATACGATGTAAGGGCGGACGTCTCTAGCACTGGGGCTGGCTTTTACAACCAATGGCGCTGGGTTCTCGGAGACGTGAAGAATTTTCACCGACGGTTTTTGGGCATCTTCCACGTCATCATCGCTGCCTCCTTTCTTCTTGTTCTTCTCACGCTTCTTTTTCCTCATCTCTTCCCTCTCGGTGCCATCCTGCTTGCTTCTCCCTCGGCCCCTGCCCCGCAGATACTCCAGGATCGATTTGGTCTGGCAGCCGTTCACCATCTTCTCCAGCCGTTTGTCCTTGAGGGCGTTGCCTTTCAAGTTGACATCCTTCAGTTTCGGGCAGTCAGCCAGCTCCGCTGGGATTTCAGAAAGCTTGTTGTTCGAGACATCCAACGTCTAGAGAAAGGAAACGGGGCTGATCGTCTTCACTGAAAAGAGCAAATCCCTAGAAACGAGTCTTGCCCTCTCTGAAAAATCTCCTGCAGGAATCTCAAAGATGGAAGGCCCTATTTTGCCAGCTACTCATACGGTCAAGAAGTCAAGAGGGGCTAGATATTTTTCGGAAGTATTCACTGCAAACCCTCACCCCCTCCGTGTTGTTGTAAGGAAGCAACAGCCACAACCCGCGCCTGGTGACAAAACGGCTGGGGAAAAAAATAAAAAGGGCTCATACCATACCATACCATCTGAGCACATGAGAAGCTCCCCGGATGGAGGAAAAAAAAGGAACAGGGCTATTTTGAGAGCAGCGGCTGCTGCGGCAGCTGCAGGACCTATTTTTGGCACCTTTGGAGGAGGGAACCTCAGTTCAGGTCTAGCACGCTCCACCACTCATTATATGTTTATCCCACTGTTTTTATGTACACGTATATGACTCGAGGCATCATTCGTAACGCTCCCGCCTTCTATTTTCTCCACAACAGCCCTGCGAGGCGGGCCGGGCCGAGAGAGCGGGACCGGCCGAAGTCACCCAGCCGGCTTTCCTGCCCAAAGGAGGCCCGGAGCTCTCGGTCTCCTGCTTTCTAGCCCGGCGCCCTCCCCACCCGCGCGCAACACACGTGCATTTACTGCGCCGGCAGGCAGCGGACTGCGCCCCGCTCACCTTCAGCCCGGCCAG